CTACGTCTAGCGAGATCTGGCTCACAACCGGAAGTCAACAAAATCTTATGGGTTCGGTGTCCCGCCCATTGTACCACCCCCTTCAACTGTCCTGCCTCCAGTCTTCCCCACCTCAGCACTCTAGATAAAATCATTTAAGTTTAAGTTTCCTAATCTTCCACACTTACAATGAAAATATAAAATCATGAGTACATAATCACATTTCACACAAGCACCACTTCCCACAGCGCTCACAGAAATGAGAAACAACCCAAACTTTGCTAAATGAAAACATTGAAGGTAAAAATCCTGGATAATTTTAATAAGAACTGTTGAAAAAGTAAAAAAAAAAGTAAACCTTTACGTATTATCATCTGAGAAGAACCTCTATGTCAGTGTTAATAAAATGAGTCCAACCCTCTATTTAAACTAGAAGAATTGGTGCACAGCATTACAGTCTGACTGCAGCTTTCAAGTAACCAGACTGAAAACTTTTCACTAAACTTTTCACTTTTTCATGCCTTGGGAGCAGAATATGACACTAATTGCAAAATTGCTGTTAATTACTCTTACAAATCAGAAGCTGCCTTGGACTCCTGATTAGACAGAACATTCAACATAACACTCTTAGACAACCTGCATGAGCCCCTTCATCTATCCTGCAGATGCTTCTGAAACTTCCGAAAACAACAACAGAAAAACAAAAACAGCAATGACTTGCTTTTCATTCTTGCAGCTTTAATGCCTAGCCACCTTTAGAGCATTCACTGTCATTTTGCCCACCTAACCATGTATAATTCAGTGCCTCACTCTCCGAGCCCAGGAAAAACATTTCCTGATATATCGCGAGGTACTGGTATAAAACAACTTCAGAGCAGGCTCGGGTGCTGCCGTCGGCCTGCACTAGCTCATGCAGTTGTCTCCTTTGAAACAACACAAAGGTATGTGCCTACAGTGTGAGGATGTGACAGATGGAAGTGATTTAGGACAATATTTGTCTTTTTCTTGAAGTTGCTCCCTCCTGCTGCAAAGTGTCTTTTGGGCAACGAGCATGGATACGACTAGTCAGCTATGGCAGTATTGTACTCTTGGCAGGACGCTGCTATTTATAATCACTCAACACAGGGAAAGTGTCCAATACTGTTAGGAGCGCCTTATCTCCGGGCTCTGTCAATATTCCTATGTGTAGGTGGGCACTGATGCTATCCCATCGCACCAAACAGCAGCTTCACTGCAATTCAGGCCACACACATCCAAATGCACACAAATACACGATAAATTCAAACTAAGACTGGTTCCCTTTTTCTTCTTCTACAAACCATTTCTCTGGTTTCTGTCTAACCCAACATAGTGATTTAAAAAAATATTTCCATTCCTCACTGCAGAGACTGTGTGTGTGTGTGCTGATTCAGTAAATTATTCAATAAATTATTCAACCATCTAAAATTTCTCCAATAAATTCACCACAGAGTTTGAAGCTAACGTTCAACTGGAAAAGTTACTCAGACTGACTCCCACCAGGCTGTTCCTGCAAGGCCTTTTTTTCACTGTCCCACTACTTGTGTGTGTGTGTGTGTGCGTTTACCCCTAGCCCCTTTGTTAGCCTACGCAGAGCATAACTACACAAGAACAACCATCTGCTTGTTTTCATGTGTCAATGGGGAGCATACCATGTTTGGAGACTGAGCTCATCACCCCCACCTGAGACCTCTGCTGGTGGCAGTCAGGGTGATAAGGTGTGCTTGGAGGCTCACCTTATCACCCTCATGTCCAACCTGCTCTGCACAGACACCCCATACAACCAGCAGAACATATCAAGGACATGGTCCCCCATGATCCCAGCTTCCCACTCCCTTAAATATATTATACTGCATGTTTCACTCACACAAAAATCTTAAATGCTTACAAAACATGTCAAACATCCCCTGGTTGCCCAATTTGGCTTTATATCTGTTAAATCTTCTTGAAATTACTTTCTTTTGAGACCAAGCCAATAACTCACAGTACTGATATATTAAGCTTATAATTGTTAAAACAGCAACAGACAACTGAACCATTTAATCTTCCAGCTGATTGGTATCTGCTGCTAAATCGGTTGTGACTGAGAAAATAAAATGGGTTCTTAACTAAAATGAAGAAACAGTCTGTTTTAAACTTTACTTGTCCACAAAGAACCACTACAGCTACCAAGAGCTATTATCCAACCATGAGCTCCATGAAGGGGCTCACAGTTAAAGGGAAGAGAATTTTCTCCAATGTGTCATTTAGCTGTTTATCATTCTAAATTCTAATATTCAATCATAATATAAAGTCAGCACTAGAAAATAACCTAGCACAATACCTTGTACTTTGTCCAAGGGCTTGGGCACAGCTGACCAAGCCACCTTTGTGGATGGACTCTACAGTCTCTGGGCCATGCTGCAAATTTGTTTTCAATTTAATTATTATTGAGACAGCATAATTTTTCTGGATCTTAATCACCCTTCTTTCCTGCATTCAATGGATTATTTCCATTATGGGATTACTACACATGTAACCTACATATGTACAAATGATCTAGGATATTGTACAGTCCCATTTTACTCCACTTAGTCTGTGTTAAATGCAAATGACCCTCTACTTTCTCTAAGATCTGAGATACTCAAGTAAAACTGCTCAGATGACTAAGGAGCTTGGAAAGAAAAGCGTCTGGACTTCTTTAAGTTGCTTGAAGACGTTTCACCTCTCATCCGAGAAGCTTCTTCAGTTCTGACAGTTAGACTACGATGACCCGGACAGACATATTGCTCAGATGACGCTGAAATGGTCAAACTTGTACTAAGGTTTTAGGTGTTATTACCTGAACTGTATCAAACATTGAAAATCTTGTTTGCAAAGCTCTTGGTTTTTTTTCTCTTTTTCTTGTGACCTCTAGGTCAAAACCTTTTTTTTTTTCCTTCTATCTCCAGCTCACAAATGCTGATTATATACAAGCTAACTATTTTACATTTGTTAGGTTAAGGTTTTTTTTGGGTTTTTTTTTTTAAATGAGTGCACCATATCTAGTACAGGAGATCAGATTTGAGTCTCTGCAAACCACACTTATTTAACAAATATGCCACTACTTCTACTGGAAGCATCTCAAACTGATTCGGGCTGTAGTGGGGAGATTTCATTTTAAAAGTGTGTCAGTGTAGCTGCTCTTAAATGTTGTGTTCAATCAGTTGTAGATTGTAATAGTTTCATTTGTCTGTTTATGTTTATGACAGTGTTTGTTGTTCTGTTGCTGAGTATAAGGGCCAAAGTAAGAAAAAATATATCTTATTGATCATTTTGAGAATGATTCAAAATGTGGAGATTACATTTGTTGTTTCAAGACAAACTGGCACAGCTGCTGTACCCTGAAGTACCCTAAATCACACTTCAGAATTGGTTTAAGTAACAAGGAAGGAAATGATTTCTCTTTTAGCACATAAACACAGTGTGGTTATCAGTATAAGGATGTTGAAAAGATGGTGCAGAAACCTGCATCTGGTCAGATGGAAAAACACACAAACTCAGAAGAGTAGATTCATAGAACATGAAATGGCTGGTAATGGACAGATGCAAGGTTATCGATGGTTACACCCTCGTCCAATAAAGAGGATGGATGTTGTTTCACGAGACAGCTGATCAATTTATTTCACTAACTCATCCAAACAAGGCATTTTGGAGAAGGTGTAGCAGGATATAGAGTACTTGAAACAACAATGAAATCTCCACATTTCGACTTTTTTCTCAAAATAGATTTTGGACTTTAATCTCGAAATTTCGACTCTATTCTCAAAATGATCAACAATATTTTTTTTTTCATAACAAAGGTAACAACACTACCACTTTTTAAATCTACTACCATTTTCATTCTTCCACTTTATAAATTATTGATGGTAAGCTCATTGATAGCATTGAATAATATATTTCAGAAGTGTGGCTGACAAATGAACATGTCATCAAACTATATCACTGAATATTAGAGAAGTCTTTAATATTCTAAAGATTAAGTAGCTTCATGTGCACAAAAACATCAAATATGCTTAAAATGACTGAGTTTGAAGTCACACTTGAAATGAAGACATATATGTTTGTGTTTTAAATTTTACAGTGGTCTTCTCAACACTTTTCCTCAGCTTAACTTTATGAAACCCTTTTGCCCAATGAGAGCCCAGCCATTGAAAAGTACACACAGAATCTGGCAATAATTACTTCATAAGAAGAACAAATAATCTTAATCGCTCTTATGTCCGTTACACAGATTGTAGATGGACATGGACCCATGCACCAACTGCTAAAAGCATCTCCCCTCAAATTTCCTCAGACATTATTTCATGCGTGCAGAGCTGCTTACCCAGCAGGCAAGTACTTCATAACTGCTGGCGTTGCCCCAAGCAATGTCCGAACTGTCCCAGCTGTCACGCTGGGAAAACAGAATCAGGCGCACCTAAAGTCATTTCACAGGCCCAGGCTTTTTAAAGCAGCCAGATCTGTAGCAGCCATCACTCCACATATTTGTTCAGCAAAAATGCTAAATTCTTCAGCAAAGTAGTTGCCGCCTGGCATTCATCGTCGCTAATCGTGTTAAACAGTAGAGAAGACATGAATTGGACGCTATATAAACAAGCCTTTAAGCATTAAGCTAGAGGCTCAGCAGGCTCATCTCATCTCATACCATGCTGCTAAACAGCTCCATCCTTGCCTGCATGTATAGCTGGCTGCGCAGTCCTGGGGCTGTATTATGGATGGGAGAACTGATAACTCTCCTCAGAAAAGAAAAATTAAATAAAATAATGTAGCAGAGTAACACCCTTCACCCATTAGAAATATGTTTCTTACTAAGAGCTACAAAGGCTTTATTACAAGACAACATAGAAAAGAGGCCAAGTGAATATGGCAGAATTGTCTGAGGTGTGGAAAAAGTTTAAATTGTTTCGGCCTCACTCACGCTCACAGCTCTTTCTTTTAATCAAAAATAACAAGCGAACGAAACAATACCGGCTGACGCTTACCCTGTAGTAGTCACTGCTGTAGATGTCCCTGGACATGCCGAAGTCTCCAATCTTCACCAGCAGGCCGTTGCCCACCAGGCAGTTGCGGGTAGCCAGATCTCTGTGCACAAAGTGCTGGGAGGCCAGGTATACCATGCCTGAGGCAATCTGGGTGGCAATGTGCAGCATCTGGGAAAGGCCCAGCTCTCCGTTGGACTGCAGTGGCTGGCCATCTACCAGGATCATGGCATCTGGGCCGTGGGCTCTGTATTACAAAGAATAGTGGATGATGATTTGATGTACTTGTATTTATATTGGTGGATTCTGGATAATGTTGACTTGAGCTCTGTGGTGTTATTTTACAGTTAGACTTGAATTATCATGTTGCGTCCAGTCAAATTTGAAGGATGCAATTAAGACCATAAACTCATCGGGAAGGTGTTTACTGAGCATAGATTAAGGCATCTGAGGGGTTGTTTTCTCACAGACTTGTATACAACCAGACCCCCTGCTGGCCATTTGAAAGAATGCAGGTTTAAAGCACAACAGTCTAATGCCCAAGCCATTCTCCAGCCTTGTCTTATGAAACCAACTTATTATTCATTAGAAAGTGAACTCTGTTATTTCTTCTCTCCTACTGTAAGTTTCATAGCTACACTTTAATTACTGGCTATAGGACCCTTTAGAGAACATTCTACATGTTGAACGAGCCTGCCTCTTTAAGAAGTAATCCAAAGCTCCTTATACTACTAATAAACCCTTATCCTGGCAATATATGTGCCTCTTTGTACCTATTGAGGATAATTACCATAATAAAGCGAGACTGTTAGAAATATTAACAAATGAACTATACTCTGCAAGCACTGCTTTACTGGCAGCGATAAACTGTTATGTGTCTGTTGTTCTTAATTCTGTGGTCGTAAGCTGTGAGCTTAGAGATTTTTTTTCTTTGGCAAAAGTTTCATGTAAGCCAACTTGTCAGGAATTTTAACCAAGTCTCTGGATTTTCATCACAGGACTGTACATTTACCAGAACAGGTTGACTGCAGGTTTCTGGGTGACGATGAAGAACTCATTTCCTGTGAAGACTTCCTGCTGTTCTCATCACCTTCTCGTCACTTTGATTACAGACCAGGTGTCATGCAGGGAGGACTACCGCTCTCTCACTCTCTCGGCCTGTTTTTCCATCCCCAAGTCAGAATTTTATTGCAGCTCAATTTTCCTCTTGTTTTTAGTGTGTCTGTTATAATTTCACTCTGCTGTTGGCGGATTAGTAGTACTTTTTCTTTCGCCTTTCTGCTTCTTATTATACTTCACAGACATACAGTAATAGGTGAATAAGAGCAGGGTGCCCTGCTGCTTATCTGAAGGTTGAATTTGGACCTGCACGTTAGATCTTCTATTCACTCCTATTGATTCCCTGCACATCTCATCTCTTAAATGTGACCAACAGGACCAACAGACCAAGAATCAGCTGCGTCTTGCACCTTGCATGAAAGAATTTCATCATTCGCGACATTGCCTTTCATTTCAGGAATGATTTCCCAACAGAAAGTCTTCACGCACTCTTGAATGCACACAGACATTCACACTCACACTCCATCGTAACATGTCATCTTTTCAACTATTGCTGAAATTTCAAAAACAAGATCGACCACACACACACACACACACGTGCACGTGCACGTGCATACACACTGCTGCTGCTGTGTACACTCTTGAAATAGCAGACTTCTTTCCCAGATTCCTTCTTTGCACACTGACATCAACTTCAGTGAAGCTTCCCATTACCAAAGAGCTTGCTGTACCGGCATCGTGTCACTTTTGTTGAAGCTTATCAGAGGTCACTTCCCTTGGTACAGTCTGACATTATGGAACAAAAGCACTAAAGCACTCGTGTTTGCTAACGCACAAAGCTGTGAAGCAAGCCGGATATTTGCAGCAGCTATTTCACAAAAGAATTTCAGGTTTTTAGTCTTACTTTCATTTACTGTACGTATTGTGAATGAGCCGGTGCGTAGTTCCAACATACTCGCACATATTTGCATTGTTAAGTTAACCTCCTAATTTCAAGAAATGTTCAATTTTCAATAATAAAAACTTTACCTGAGGAATTTGTTGAGGTCTCCATGTTTCATGTATTCGAACACCATAATGAGAGGGTCTCCATCTACGCACACGCCATAAAACTTAACAATGTGGTCATGCTGCAGGTTGGTCAGCAGCTCGGCCTCTCTCTGGAAGTCCTTCCTGGCTGACAGGTTGGGATCTTTAAGAGTCTGAAAGGAGAAATAAAAAAAGTCAGATTTACATATTTTGAAAACTACACTGGTTTGTTATCCAGGATCTAAAAAAATCATGAAGTCTTCATTTACGTGCCATTGGGGAATCAATCATCCTTTGCATCCTGTTGATACTTACTATTTACTTTACCAGTGAACGGTTTCATGGTTCTGAAAAAGATCTGCTAAATCTGCTAAATTTGAGTGATCAATCAATAGAAAATTGCTGCTTTTCCTGGTATCAGGCACTGACAGATACATTTTTATTAACACTTTAAAATGATCTACAGTATGGTGCATTAATTGCTAAATGTTTAGCTCTGCCAGCAAAATAAGGCAACCACTTCAACAACAACATCAGAGAAAGCTCGCTTCAGCTTTTAGAGGATACAACTTTTTCTTGCCCTGATTGATTCAGGTTGGCTTCTGTCTTCCAAATGAGAATCATCAACTTAGTATGCTAGACTATCTGACAGTTTTAGTCAGTCCTTAATTCACCCTCACATGCCACCATGACCTTGACAACCCAGGTTTTGAGAGAAATTGCCTGCGTGGATTACCATGAAATCTGAGGACATAAGAACCTTCAAGGTTCCCAATAAAATAAATAAATAAATAAATAATAATTATGCTAATCAGCAAGGGTTAGCGAGATAAACTCAACTAGAGAACAAGCCAAATGTTATTTTCTAAACATCAGCATGTTTTTTTTTCATTTCCTTTTTCTTATGCAGCAGAAATGAAAAGCTGGAGGCTGTTAAGTTTCAATTTACCAAACGAACAAGGGCACAATGAGATGATGTGTGTAAAATACTACTAGCCCGACCTGATATAGGTGTAAAATACATGTTGAAAATATGATATTTAATCCAAGTGGTCACATGCTTCATGTATGCCAGGAGTTATTATTTGTTTCCACTGAACTTTTACTGATGCACAAATATTTTTGTTCCTAAATAGAGATGGATGGAAGTTCACTTTTTGTCACTGTTAATTTGTCACTACAGTAATTTAAGAATTTATTTGCTCACTTTAAGCGCCGTACTTTTAAGCATCAGCACTGAGATGCCATACAGGGAGTGCAGAATTATTAGGCAAATGAGTATTTTGTCCACATCATCCTCTTCATGCATGTTGTCTTACTCCAAGCTGTATAGGCTTGAAAGCCTACTACCAATTAAGCATATTAGGTGATGTGCATCTCTGTAATGAGAAGGGGTGTGGTCTAATGACATCAACACCCTATATCAGGTGTGCATAATTATTAGGCAACGTCCTTTCCTTTGGCAAAATGGGTCAAAAGAAGGACTTGACAGGCTCAGAAAAGTCAAAAATAGTGAGATATCTTGCAGAGGGATGCAGCAGTCTCAAAATTGCAAAGCTTCTGAAGCGTGATCATCGAACAATCAAGCGTTTCATTCAAAATAGTCAACAGGGTCGCAAGAAGCGTGTGGAAAAACCAAGGCGCAAAATAACTGCCCATGAACTGAGAAAAGTCAAGCGTGCAGCTGCCAAGATGCCACTTGCCACCAGTTTGGCCATATTTCAGAGCTGCAACATCACTGGAGTGCCCAAAAGCACAAGGTGTGCAATACTCAGAGACATGGCCAAGGTAAGAAAGGCTGAAAGACGACCACCACTGAACAAGACACACAAGCTGAAACGAGGACCAATGCAAAGAACAGATAATCAACACTCAGTAATTTTCCTGTCTGATGAATGCAAGGCTTTTGAGTGTCCTTGCAAAGAAAGGTGGCTATATTGGTCGCTGATTTGTTTTTGTTTTGTTTTTGAATGTCAGAAATGTATATTTGTGAATGTGGAGATGTTATATTGGTTTCACTGGTAAAAATAAATAATTGAAATGGGTATATATTTGTTTTTTGTTAAGTTGCCTAATAATTATGCACAGTAATAGTCACCTGCACACACAGATATCCCCCTAAAATAGCTAAAACTAAAAACAAACTAAAAACTACTTCCAAAAACATTCAGCTTTGATATTAATGAGTTTTTTGGGTTCATTGAGAACATGGTTGTTGTTCAATAATAAAATTATTCCTCAAAAATACAACTTGCCTAATAATTCTGCACTCCCTGTAAAAGCAAGGAAGCATAGCTTCTTACAACAAATTGATGTGCCTTCTATATTGGACAGAATTTTTTGTTATTATCAAAGTAAAGCTTTTGCATTGTTGCAGTATGGGTGGACAAAATGTTCAGAGAGAAAGAGGAAGACTTCAGGGGTATTCCTATAACTACAGACGGAATCTGTATTTGCCTCTGGACCATTTAGTAAGGAACATTCAGTATGAAATGTCCTTGGTTCTGTACATCCTGAGAGTCAAGCAAATGGAGTAAGCATTACATACAATGGCACTTCTGAATAATATTAGTATTTTGAAAATAAAACAGAAAATTATTAATGAAGAACAAACCATGACCGGAGACAGTTGGTGTTGATGCATGTCCTGGTCTGCCTCCAACTTAAAACTTTCAAGACTTAAAGGATCTGCTGTTAATATGCTGCTGCCAGATAGCTGTACTGCTCACAATACATCTTTCTACAAACAATTACAGCTGTCTGAGGAGTAGAGATGAACTCAATGTACACATTAATTGATTTGACTGGAAGTAAGATCAAGCAGGCAAATAAACTGAACTCATTTAAAGTCTAGACCACATAATTTTCTAAATCTTACTTGTTTCACAAATATCAAATAAATGCAATAATATATTACTGGTGCGTCTGCTGGAGGAGAAAAAAAAAAGACTTTTGGCAGTTCATCAGCAACAGGAAAATAGGGAGTGTTGATTATCCTAGTCTCTTTAGCATTGGTTCCTGTTTTCCCAGCCTGCTGCTGACATTATTACAGATGGAATGACCTTGGCATGGAAATGCATTTACTCATATGTGCTCTTCTTGCAGTGAAATGCTAGAGGTGGTTGAGATGTACAGCAGAGTAGGTAAAATGGCCATAAAATTCTATTACCAAATCAAACCGCACTCTTAAGGAAATGTTTCTTGTCTGGGCATTCCTCCAAAACAATACCTTCAAAGTGCTTGAACACGATAAATTGAGGCAAAGCGCTGCAATGAATTTTCCCTTTGTTGACCTTTAAGAGAATTCAGAGAGCTGGTTCCTGCTTTCTCACAGGCAGGAGAATGTTCAGATGAAAATCCACATAGTATTCTGTTTTAAGGAGGTCAAGGTTTACTCACAAACTCATTTGCTAATTCTATAAGAGGGAGAAAAGAAAGTTACAGGCAGATACTCCATCACCTTCATCTGTACTATTTCACTTCTCTGTTGTCAAGGTCAGGGTGGTTTTCTCTCTCCCCCCCCCCCCGTTTAGGTAGTTTTACTGAGTCCACAACCTCTTATTCACATGTTTTCCATTCAGACAACTCTTTATATTCACCCTGGGTGCTGCCAAGCACAACTTAATATTAAGCTCTGTGATGGCACACAGGGACAATGGTTTGAAATGCTTCAATCTCTTTAAAACAAATCATTAAATTCACAGGGGTATTAACTTTGCTCCGCTCGTTCTTCCATTTTGACAGATGCTGCTGGTCCCCTGACTGTTAGTAAGGCAGGTTCCAGATGGGAACAAAGACTAGAACTCCAGCAGACAGACACCAGATTCAATATCAGCATATTCATTCGGCTTTGCCTAAGACTGTGTCAGAATATGCACCTATGCCAGGTACATGGAAACTTAGCATAAGCAATAAAGAAAAGGATAATCGTGTAACCAGCACTCACAGTAAAAATAGTGACTTCCTTAGAGGAACTGTTGTGTGCTGTACCTTGTGTCATGTTTGTAATATAAGGAAAATAAACAGTTATTTTTGGTGCATTTGACTTTAACTTTGCCTGTAACTTTGCCAGAAAACTGGTGACATACCAGGAAGATAGACCACCCAGTAAATAAATAGACTCTCTCTGAAACACAACTGGGTTTAAACACTTAAAGAACTTGTTACGGTTGTGCAACCCAGGAACTCATATTCCCTAATGATATCATCAGCTATCCTACTTTCTGAGTACCGATATCAAGGTTCTTACTGGAATGGTGTCCACTATGGCTGTGTAATTAAGTGCAGTCAGTTTGTGCACTGGGCTGTGATACACCATATGGACAAAAGTAGTGGGTCACCTACAGTTTACACCTACAGGAGCTGCTTGATCATTCCATGAACCATCACGGTGCACAGTTTTTGTGCTGATGTTAATGCCAGAGGAGGCTTGGAATTCTGCAGTTAGTGAGTCAGCAGAGCCTCACTGACTTTTACACACTACGTGCCTCAGCACTCGGCTATCCTGCTCTGTGCAGTAAGTCTGTGCAGTCTGCCTTTCTGTGTGGCTGAGTTACTGCGGTTGCTGAACGATTCCACTTAGTAATAATACACCTTACAGCCGATGGTGAAAGAAATATTATCAGTCACATCAATCATTCAATCACATCACTTGTTGCAACATTGGCATCCTGTTACTGTAACACATTCAAATTCAGTGAAAGAATGGCCCCTTCTCCCACAAATGTTTTCAAAGGATTGCATGAAAGGGTGCTTAATTTTGTGCACCTGTGGCAACAGGACTGAAAAAAGAAACACCTGAATTTCAAGTTTAATACTTTTGTTGATTTATTGTGTTTAGTGAGCAGCTCGCAATCTTTATGTTGTTGGATAAATTTATTTGTTTCCATTTTGGCTTTATTTTTCTTCCCAGTGCAACAGGGAGTTGCACAGGTGAGCTTATTTAATAAGCTTCAGAGATGCTTGTTGACCCTCGTGAGAATGGCAGTATGAGCCCAATGCGACATCACAACTGTTGGTGTGTGCACTACACTTTGGTTGTACATCTCTAGATTTTTGTAATTTTTATTATCATGCCATTGAAGCATCCCTACAGGAGGTCAGAGTTTATCAAATGGCAAAGCGGAAGATACTACAATAATTTGAAAAGATGAGACTTTCTAGAGGGAACTAGAACTCGTTTGGCTCTCGGCGAAGGCAGTCGCACTTTTCTCCTCTCCTCCTTCCCCTTATCTTCCCTGCTTAGCCTCTTGTGTCCTTGTCTTGTTTCGCGTGTATTACTTTCCCTGGAACACTCTCACAGTCTGTTTCTAAAACCTAAAGAGAATTATGCATTTGATCAACTGGTCTCTGAATGCTATTGACACCCTTTTCTCAACGAGAAGTCTGGGCTCAGGAGAGCCCGAGTGCCCTGGAGGGACTTTCCCTGCCGGATACATGATGGACGGGTGGCAGAAATGGAGGATCGTGTGCCTGGCGGGACTGTCGATCGAGGACGCTGAAGATATCTATCTATTCGGAACCATGATACCAGGGTTCTTGCTGATCAGAGCTGGCTTGGCCCTGGCATATCCGAGAATTAAGAAAGCGGAACTGGCTGTTCAAAACCCCCCCAAGGCTGCCCGCTGGGATTGAAACGATGGGACGAGGTGCAACTTCTCAGAATGGGCTCACTGAAGACCTTGGAGACGCTTACAGCTGCCGTGAATACTCAGAATAAGACCTCTGAGCGTATATTGGGTTACATCAAGGAAAAGGCCGCTCAGAATAACATCTCTGAACGAAAGTTGGATTACATCGTGGAATAACTCACTGCAGTCGTGAGTTCTCAGAATCAGCTCTCTGAGCACAAGAATGACAAGACCACGGAGCGCAAGTTTGATAACATCATGGAGAAGCTCGCGGTTCTCCAACGGGAGATTGAGAGACCAGTGTCGGAGTGTTAAAGAGCAGCTTTGAAATTCTCATGACTGTTCTTCCCACTCTATGCAAGGCCACCTGGGTTGGCTGGTAGACTGTTTACTTAGCCTGATAGGGCAGAGGACACTGTCTCAGCTGAACTATGGACACACACACACATTTACACTGATAAGCACTCACACATCCCCCTTCCCCTTCCAATGCCTTCGATGCTTGTTGCCTCCTGGGAACACGAGGCGGGTCTGGCCTGCGCTAGAGAGTCGGCGCAGTGGCAGGATGGCTGCTGTGTTGCCTGGGATTACTCCTTATCCCCTAATGTTGTGCTGTGGACATTTCTGTGCTTTCTGTGCAGAGGAGTTTTTTTGTTTCCTGTTCTCATGCTGTCCTCCTATAGCCCAGCATGAGTAGAGGTCTCTTTTTTTCCTCTTGTACTTTCCCATTGTAGTGTACATTTCAGTGTTTTTTCTGTAATGCAACCGCTCTCTGACTTGTATCCCCATGTGATGTCTGTGTTGTGTGTGTATGGTCGAGGGGCGGGTTCATTCCACTGCAGGGCAACCTGCCACTGCATGTGGCGAATAAAATTTGAACTTGAACTTTAATAACTTTGTAAAGGTACCCCTGTACCAGTGCTGATGCAGGGGAATGGCAACACCCATTCAGGCAAAGAGATCTGCAAGTCTTCAGTGCAGAATGGGCAATGCTGAATGGGTACGGGGCTGTGGGGACCTTACAAATAGCACAGGAAACAACCATAAACTCGGCTCAAAAGAGGTCATCATAGCCACTTGAGTTTAGAAGTCATCAGTTTTGAATTTGGGGCATTTTCCTCGCCCATTAGATTATAAAATGCAAAGAAAAACATTTTGTATTGTATTAAAAATGAAATCAGTGATGGATTACCTAATTTGAATATTTTTTACTGAGGTAGGCTCATAGAAGCTAGAGCAGTCACTGTCTGGTGGCAAATGAAAATTCCACACTTGCTTTGGTTTTCACTTTCAGAAGCTACCTCCAGTCTTTTAAGTATGTTTTACACTAACCAGCAGCTGCTGAAAGGTTCATATTTACAAAAATAAGAATCTCACACAATGTTCAGCCATTACTGCAATCCTCTTTGTAACACTCAGACACACAGCTAACCACTTAAAACGTACCTTAACGGCCACCAGCATCTTGTCCTTAGTGGGACTGAGGTTGTAACATTCTGCCAAGAAGACTTTACCGAAGGCTCCCTCGCCCAGCTCTCTTTTCAGGATGATGTCTCTCCGCTTTATATGCTGGACAACTAAAACCAAAGAAGAAGAAATAATGACAGATTTTAAAAAAACAATAACTTTTTTGAGAATTTCAGTTAGACTTTCAGACATTTTTATGTGTTTAGTCGCACAGAAAACGTGTTACATTGGCAGTGAAATGCTTTTATCAAATCAAAATGTTACCAATAACTAAACTAAAAAGGAAGGAAATTGTAAGGCAGAGAAGGGGAGACAGAACATAAACAGTATTACTGCACTGGAAGCTGGACATGCAGCTATATTGCAGTATTTTAAATTCCACACAAGTTGGCAAGATTTCTACAGAAATATTCATGCTGACCCACAGGGTGGTGTTTACAAAAACTGGCACCAGACATCTTAAAACCAGTGTTTTCTGTAATGGTGAAAGCATTAAAAAATATACTGAATATTTCAATATTTTTCTCCAAGTGTGATCCACCTCCATCAAGATGTATGATAGTGTCAAACTGCAAGGAAAAAATGTTTTATCTAACTTTGGAGCTACTCAAAGAACACTTGGAGCATTACAGTTCAAGTGGTTTTAAATCTCAGAAGTGCAAATAAACTGCCAGGTGACACTGGACCTGCTGAGCTATAAATCTCTTATCTGGATTCCTCGGTTTTACTGTCGCCACTGAAACGCCACAGGAGGACATTTTCTAATGAGAACAGAATTGTAAAATTTTACTCTTTGAGGAACATAAAACAACTGGCTGAGCAGAGCGGGAGAAAGCAACGTCTTTGTCTTTTTCTGTTACCTGTAATAACTTACTTTAAAGGGATATCTTTAGAGTTACGAGGTAGTAAAGTCGGTATATTTTTCTGTTGAGCGTGTGACCTTAGATCATTTTCACCCCTTTTTGCAATTGCTTGCAATATTTGTGAACCTAGAATGGAGGCTTATTCTTCTATTGATTGGCCTGGTGGAAAACGGGTGGATCTTGACTTTTGTCCGCAAAATAACAGGCTAACTCAAAAGGAGATACAGGAAAAGGTAGAAATAGCATGACAGAAAGCTCTGTATGAAAGAGCTGGTGAGGCGTAGGAGTTGCTGGCTTCTGATAGACCTACTCGATGTGCCTCAGTACAAATACTGATCACACAGTTTCACAACAGATTTAAATATAAATTATATATATATATATATATATATACAAAAATAATTTTAAATTTATTATTAGGGGTGCAACTCTCGACGATGCTTCGTAGTTGACGTCTCAACGTGTGGTATCGTAGCATAGTTCGACTACTCCGCCTAGGCTGCACTGTCGAAGCGCAGATCCACTGAGCGTTCAACACAGACAGCATAGTCAGAAGGAAGAGCGCAGGGCAAGCTAGCAGACAGAAGTTAAGCGGCGAAAATGTCGAAGGGCGGCTCGGTATTTTCCGGCAGCAGAGCAAGAACTCTGAGTGAGGGATTTCAGGAGTTTCAGAGTTTAATTAAAACGCAAGGAACACTGCAAAGGCTGCAAAAGCAAGGAGAGAGGGCTGGCAGAAAGTTGCTGACAAATAAACTCGTAGGTAATTTAATAATAATAATAATAATGGATTGGTTTATATAGCGCTTTTCAAGGCACCCAAAGCGCTTTACAATGCCACTATTCATTCACTCTCACATTCACACACTGGTGGAGGCAGCTACGTTGTAGCCACAGCTGCCCTGGGGCAGACTGACAGAAGCAGGCTGCCATATCGCGCCATCGGCCCCTCTGGCCAACACCAGTAGGCGGTAGGGTAGATTTATTATATTACACTATATTATCCAATATTATATTACATTATATTATATTATATCCCCTTTCACATTAGAGCCACAACAGGACCCACTAGAACATGGGAACAAGTAAAAGTGAAATATAAGAATATTCTACAGAATGGTAATATTTATCACTTATATTGCTTTTGTCTCTTGGAAAGAGACCCTGAAATAATCTGTTTGTTTGTTCATAACAGCAACCAAGAAAAGGGCAGAGCAAAAAAAGACAGGTGGTGGTCCTGCACCCCCTCGTCAACAAGTTGGTTAAGTAAATAATACCCTCACGGGAAAATCGATATCTCTCTATGAGCACACTGTCGCGCTGAGCTAAAGGATCCTGTCTTCCCGCAATATACGCTGAATTCTGAGGACTCTCCTTATCAATCTTGCACCTTCCGCAATGGGTTGCTCGCGTAAACGGACAGGACATGGCTGCGACAGGCTTCCCAAATCCACCTTCGCTTTTATAGCCGTGGTCTCTCATCTTGATTACACGAAGTAATTTGCAATTACTACTCTGAAATATGAATTACATCTGTAATAATCACATACATGTAATAGAATGTTAATAGTACATTTCCCTTTTTTAGGAAATGACCTGTATGTATCTGTGTGACATCAATAAAAGGATCAAGTGCTGCATTATCTTTAGTTACATTGATGTTATTTATTTATGGTGAAACAGTGGTGGAATATCGC